ACCCCAAGCACACATCAAAATTCACAAAGAAATTGTTAATTGACCACAAAATCAACATTTTGCAATGGCCATCTAAGTCTCCGGACTTGAACCCCGTTGATAACCTGTGATTTGAATTGAAGAGGGCAGTCCATAAGCGCAGACAAAGGATATCAAGGATCTGGAAAGATTCTGTATGGAGGAATGGTCTAAGATCCCTCCCAATGTGTTCTCCAACCTCATAAAACATTTTAGAAAAAGGCTCAATGTTGTTATCCTCGCAAGGGGAGGGTACCGTAGAATTGAAAACATGGGTGCCAATCATTTTTACCCCTATCTTTTTTAGATTTCTTTTTATTACTAGACTAAATGTCTTTCTCAGAGCAATTGTATAATTTCCCAATTTTTGCTATTATTTATTTTATAGAGTATTTTTTGCACATCTTTATCAAGGGTGCCAATAATGTTGGACCTGAATGTATTTTATATACATTTACATTTACATTTTCGTCATTTAGCAGACACTCTTATCCAGAGCGACTTACAAATTGGTGCATTCACCTTATGATTGCCAGTGGGACAACCACTTAAAAAATATATATATATATCATTTTTTAAACTTTTTTAAATTTTTTTTTGGGGGTGGGGTAAGGGTGGGTAGAAGGATTACTTTATCCTATCCCAGGTATTCCTTAAAGAGGTGGGGTTTCAAGTGTCTCCAGAAGGTGGTGAGTGACTCCGCTGTCCTGGCGTCGTGAGGGAGCTTGTTCCACCATTGGGGTGCCAGAGCAGCGAACAGTTTTGACTGGGCTGAGCGGGAACTGTGCTTCCGCAGAGGTAGGGGGGACAGCAGGCCAGTGGTGGATGAACGCAATGCCCTCGTTTGGGTGTAGGGACTGATCAGAGCCTGAAGGTACGGAGGTGCCGTTCGCCTCACAGCTCCGTAGGCAAGCACCATGGTCTTGTAGCAGATGCGAGCTTCAACTGGAAGCCAGTGGAGTGTGCGGAGGAGCGGGGTGACGTGAGAGAACTTGGGAAGGTTGAACACCAGACGGGCTGCGGCGTTCTGGATGAGTTGTAGGGGTTTAATGGCACAGGCAGGGAGCCCAGCCAACAGCGAGTTGCAGTAATCCAGACGGGAGATGACAAGTGCCTGGATTAGGACCTGTGCCGCTTCCTGTGTAAGGCAGGGTCGTACTCTGCAAATGTTGTAGAGCATGAACCTACAGGATCGGGTCACCACCTTGATGTTAGCGGAGAAGACAGGGTGTTGTCCAGGGTCACGCCAAGGCTCTTTGTACTCTGGGAGGAGGACACAACAGAGTTGTCAACCGTGATGGCGAGATCATGGAACGGGCAGTCCTTCCCCGGGAGGAAGAGCAGCTCCGTCTTGCCGAGGTTCAGCTTGAGGTGGTGATCCGTCATCCACACTGATATGTCTGCCAGACATGCAGAGATGCGATTCGCCACCTGGTTATCAGAAGGGTGAAAGGAGAAGATTAACTGTGTGTCGTCTGCGTAGCAATGATAGGAGAGGCCATGTGAGGATATGACAGAGCCAAGTGACTTGGTGTATAGCGAGAATAGGAGAGGGCCTAGAACTGAGCCCTGGGGGACACCAGTGGTGAGAGCACGTGGTGCAGAGACAGATTCTCGCCACGCCACCTGGAAGGAGCGACCTGTCAGGTAGGACGCAATCCAAGAGTGAGCCGCGCCGGAGATTCCCAACTCGGAGAGGGTGGAGAGGAGGATCTGATGGTTCACAGTATCAAAGGCAGCAGATAGGTCTAGAACAGGGTTCTTCAATTCCGGTCCTGGAGGGCCGAAATACTTCTGTTTTTTATTTCTACCTGGTAGTTAATTGCACTCACCTGATGTCCCAGGTCTGAATTAGCCCCTGATTAGAAGGAGAGGATGAAAAACAGTGGTGTTTCGGCCCTCCAGGACCGGAATTGAAGAACCCTGGTCTAGAAGGACGAGAGCAGAGGAGAGAGCGTTAGCTTTAGCAGTGCGGAGAGCCTCCGTGACACAGAGAAGAGCAGTCTCAGTTGAATGACCAGTCTTGAAACCTGACTGGTTTGGATCAAGAAGGTCATTCTGAGAGAGATAGCAAGAGAGTTGGCTAAAGACGGCACGCTCAAGAGTTTTGGAGAGAAAAGAAAGAAGGGATACTGGTCTGTAGTTGTTCACATCGGAGGGATCGAGTGTAGATTTTTTGAGAAGGGGTGCAACTCTCGCTCTCTTGAAGACGGAAGGGACATAGCCAGCGGTCAAGGATGAGTTGATGAGCGAGGTGAGGTAAGGGAGAAGGTCTCCGGAAATGGTCTGGAGAAGAGAGGAGGGGATAGGGTGAAGCGGGCAGGTTGTTGGGCGGCCGGCCGTCACAAGTCGCAAGATTTCATCTGGAGAGAGAGGGGAGAAAGAAGTCAAATCATAGGGTAGGGCAGTGTGAGCAGGACCAGCGGTGTCATTTGACTAAATCAATGAGGATCGGATGTCGTCAACCTTCTTTTCAAAATGGTTGACGAAGTCATCCACAGGGAGGGGGAGGAGGAGGAGGATTCAGCAGGGAGGAGAAGGTGGCAAAGAGCTTCCTAGGGTTAGAGGCAGATGCTTGGAATTTAGAGTGGTAGAAGGTGGCTTTAGCAGCAGAAACAGAGGAAGAAAATGTAGAGAGGAGGGAGTGAAAAGATGCCAGGTCCGCAGGGAGTCTAGTTTTCCTCCATTTCCGCTCGGCTGCCCGGAGCCCTGTCCTGTGAGCTCGCAATGAGTCGTCAAGCCACGGAGCAGAAGGGGAGGACCGAGCCGGCCGGGAGGATAGGGGACATAGAGAGTCAAAGGATGCAGAAAGGGAGGAGAGGAGGTTTGAGGAGGCAGAATCAGGAGATTGGAGGGAGAAGGATTGAGCAGAGGGAAGAGATGATAGGATGGAAGAGGAGAGAGTAGCGGGAGAGAGAGAGCGAAGGTTGCGACGGCGCATTACCATCTGAGTTGGGGCAGAGTGAGTAGTGTTGGAGGAGAGCGAGAGAGAAAAGGATACAAAGTAGTGGTCGGAGACTTGGAGGGGAGTTGCAGTGAGATTAGTAGAAGAACAGCATCTAGTAAAGATGAGGTCAAGCGTAGTGCCTGCCTTGTGATAGGGGGGACGGTGAGAGGGTGAGGTCAAAAGAGGAGAGGAGTGGAAAGGAGGAGGCAGAGAGAAATGAGTCAAAGGTAGACGTAGGGAGGTTAAAGTCACCCAGAACTGTGAGGGGTGAGCCATCCTCAGGAAAGGAACTTATCAAGGCGTCAAGCTCATTGATGAACTCTCCAAGGGAACCTGGAGGGCGATAAATGATAAGGATGTTAAGCTTGAATGGGCTAGTGACTGTGACAGCATGGAATTCAAATGAGGAGATAGACAGATGGGTCAGGGGAGAAAGAGAGAATGTCCACTTGGGAGAGATGAGGATTCCTGTGCCACCACCCCGCTGACCAGATGCTCTCGGGGTATGCGAGAACACATGGTCAGACGAGGAGAGAGCAGTAGGAGTAGCAGTGTTTTCTGTGGTAATCCATGTTTCCGTCAGCGCCAAGAAGTTGAGAGACTGGAGGGTAGCATAGGCTGAGATTAACTCTGCCTTGTTGGCCGCAGAACGGCAGTTCCAGAGGCTGCCGGAGACCTGGACCTCCACGTGGGTCGTGCGTGCAGGGACCACCAGGTTAGAGTGGCAGCTGCCATGCGGTGTGATGCGTTTGTATAGCCTGTGCGGAGAGGAGAGAACAGGGATAGACAGACACGTAGTTGACAGGCTACAGAAAATGGCTACAATAATGCAAAGGAGATCGGAATGAAATGAACTAAACATCTGGGAAAGCGAGAGAGCGCGGCCTCCCTCACTTACGTTTCACTGAAACACTCAAATATAACTCTCCCAACTTCCACTTTAGAAATTATAATTGTTGTAAACTACAGCGGTTCAATGTTTTCTAGGAATAGACTAACTTAGTTTATTCAGGAAGCTAACTTGGTACAGTATTCTTCCGTGAAAACCGTCCAGGGTACCGAATCCTATGACGCCATAGCCAACTAGCATGCCAGGCTCCAATAACACGGTTTAGCACCAATACTCGGTTACAACAAACCACCAGTGTGTTAACATGCCAAGCAGATCTTTCGTGTCCGTGTCTAATGTTGTGTAAAGTTTTGGGTTAGTTTTGACAGTTTGAGTGAGTCCGTCGTCAACTTATTCAGCCAGTTAGTTAACTAGAATAGTTAGCATACTAGCTAGCCATTGCTCGCTGCCAACAAAAAAAAAACTCCTCCCACGGCATGAACACACAGAGAGAGCCAAGCTAACGTTAACTAGTCACCCATGTCCCGAATTCCCTTGAACGACTCTGGTTACCAGTATGTAAAAACAAAACACAAATGTAGGTTATAACTTACCCTTAGTAGCTACTGTTAGCCAGTTAAGTGCAAAGCTAGCCACTGAATCGATTCAGCCAGTTCGCGTCTGTTCGCTAGGTCGTTCCAGCTATTGTCTAGTTAGCTATCCAGGTAGCAACAAGCTAGCTACATTTCGAGTACAGTAGCTACTGACTACCTAACGTTAACGCTTCAGATAATGAGGTTAGAAAAACAGCTGAATGGTAGGTAGCTAGCTGGCATAATTACAGGTACTTTTAAGCGTGAAATAACATTGGAAACAACTATCCACAGTTGCTAATAGTTACCAGTAGCTACCCGCTAGCTAGTCCAGGTAGTGGGTTAGCTAGCCTCGTGCTTCACCGGGCTCAGCCGAATACAATACTTACCTACGATAACTACCTAGATAAACTACCTACAATACCTAACTACAATCTAAATACATGGTTTAAGCTTTACTCGACACCATATAAGCCAAGCTTACCTCCCGCCAGAGAGAGACATAACCGCACCCGACGACCTCTTAGAGGGAATACATTACTATATACGTGTGTGTATATAAAACATTTTTTAAATACTTACGCCTCACCTTCTAATACTTCCTTTCTTTCAGGTCCTAAAGATGAGTTATCCAGGTTACCCTCCCTCCGGCGGCTACACCCCACAGCCAGGTGCATATCCCCCCCAAGCAGGAGGTTACCCACCCCAGGCCGGCGGTTACCCACCCCAAGCCGGCGGTTACCCACCTCAAGCCGGCGGTTACCCACCTCAAGCCGGCGGTTACCCACCCCAAGCCGGCGGTTACCCACCCCAAGCCGGCGGCTACCCACCCCAAGCCGGTGGCTACCCACCCCAAGCCGGCGGCTACCCACCCCAAGCCGGGGGCTACCCTCCAGGAGCAGGGGGCTACCCTCCACAGCAGGCCGGAGGTTATCCTTCCATGCCACCAGCACAAGGTAGGGCTATTATCGTTTATTTTATTTTGGGACTACATTACTATTTGTTTTCATGGTAGTGCAAAAGTGTGCTTGCTCTGGTTTGAGGATATTTGTTTGTTGTCAGTTAGGTATATAGGAGACCCTGGTATGTGACCTTGTCACACAATGGTTTTGGATAGATTTGACAAATGTAGAGTATATTTGAAGTTAACCTGTTTATTAAAATCATGCTACACCACTCACTTGTTGTCTCTTCATTCTCTAGGTGGTTGGGGTGGAGCCCCTGGTGGTGGAATGGTAAATATAACTTCTTATCTTGAATCAAGTAGCTAACTAAGAACCAAGTAACTACGAACATATTGACAGGCTCTAAATCAGCTGGTTCTATTTACGACCTGATCTACACACCCTGTAACATGTATGGAGTCTGTTACCATGTCATTATGTCCCAAATGGCTCCCTGTTGCTATGGGCCCTGGTCAAACGTAGTGCACTATGTAGGGAATAGGGTGCCATTTGGGACATAGCCAGAGCCAGTAATGTGATACCAGCTAATCACCTCCTTTACTCCCTCCAGCCAGGCGGAGGGATGCCCCAGGGATACCCAGGCGGTCCTGCTCCATGTCCACCCCAGGGATACCCAGGAGGCCCTGCCCCAGAACAGCAGCCCATGCCTGGCTACCCTGGAGGAGCCCCGGCACCCAACCCCTCCATGCCAGGATACGGAGGTGGTGCTCCAGCTACTCCCCATTCGCCTGCCATCAATGTGAGAATCTCTGAGTGGAATCTTTTGTTTCTTTTTCAGTTTGTGTCATGTAGATAGAAATCATTACCCTGTATTTACATTTATTTACATAGCTTTTTCCTAATATGTTTTACAAAGTGTTTCCTTGTTTCAGTGTTTCCTTGTTTCAGTGTTTCCTTGTTTCAGTATTTCCTTGTTTCAGTTTCAGTACTTGTTTTTATTTGTCATTAGAGAGGCTACAGGGGTGCGATAAAGGACCATTCAGGTGCTGACCCACTGAGGGATGTGGAAGTCCTCCGCAAGGCCATGAAGGGCTTTGGTCAGTAGTTCGTCATTATAGACGTTCACTATCATGGATAGATGTATGAAGGAGTTGATGGGATTCAGTAAAATTCTAATAACACATTATTTAGAGATGCACATTACATAACTGAAGTTCCTTCTGGGGAAAAAATAGTTATTCTATTCTATAAATCTTCAATGGCTAGATGCATATGTAGAATATTCTACAATTAAGAGCACATTATTTAGTGATACACATTCCATCTACTACCAGTTAAACTGCTAATAATGATAATAATATATTATTTTCAACAGGCACGGATGAGTCCGCTGTAATTGAGCTTCTTGGAAGCCGCACCAGCAAGCAGAGGGTTCCAATGGTTGCAGCCTACAAAACCACGTATGGGAAGGTGAGGTTTACACTACATTTTACATTTTAGTCATTTAGCAGACGCTCTTATCCAGAGCGACTTACAGTTAGTGAGTGCATACATTTTTCATACACTAGAGTGGTTTCTTTTATTGTCTTCTATTGTTGCTGTTAGATGAACACTACATGGAAGTTATACTATGTCTGCGTCCCAAATGGCACCCTATTCCCTATTTATTCCCCTATGGGCCCTGGTTGAAAGTAGAGCGCCAAATAGTAAATAGGGTGCCATTTGGTGCACAGATTTACTGTATGTTAAGTGACCTCTTACACAATCTTCTATTTCACAGGATTTATTCCACGATTTGAAGTCTGAGCTGACTGGGAGTTTTGAGAAGCTGGCTATTGCCATGTTGCAGACACCAGCCAAGTTTGATGCATCTGAACTCAAAGAAGCCATATCGGTTTGAACGGGTTCTTTCGTTTACTCTTAGACTCTCTATACCAGGGTCATGTTCATTAGAGCAAAACGTAGCATAACATTTTGAAACAGAAAACAACGGAAACAAGTTTGTTATTGGACAAGTTCTGATATTACCTCCCCATTTCAGTCCGTTATGGAATGTTTTCTTCTGTTTCGTGCCTACTGAACACCACCCATGTTATTCCACTCTTTATATTGGGCCTCTTTTGTGAGTCATCTCAGTATGAAACAGAAAGAAAAGCTTAATTAAAGACAGTAAAAGTCAGGTATGTTGAGGCCTGAGGAATCACCCATCTTACTATCTGGTGAACAAAAGTGATTTATCTACTTACTGTAGCTTGTAGAGAACAAGTATTACTTGATTGCACTGGGCCATGACATATTCTTGTATGAACAACGAGGTGAACCACAAACTATATGGTGAACTATGTGGTGATTTACTGTAGCTGTAGAGAATAAGTATTACTTTATTGCACCTGGCCAGTAATTATTATTTTCTTCTAGATCATTTCTGGAACTCATACACATAGTATTTATATATTTACTGTATACTTAAGAATGGCCTGTTTTGTTCTTAGGGTGCAGGTACTGATGAAGCATGTCTGATTGAGATCCTGTCATCTCGCTCCAATGCAGAAATCAGAGAAATCAATCAAATTTACAAACATGGTAAGAGCCCATTATCAACTTGGTGGTGTTACAGAAAAATCAGCCTCTTGTGGGGAGTCAGGCAAGAAAGACGCATTTACTTCAGTGTGATGTACTGAAAAGTTGTTTGTTTCAGAGTATGAATTGAAATACTGTGTGTTTCAGAGTAACTGACTGAAATGCCGTTAGTTTAAGAATATGTATTGAAATGCTGTTTGTTTCAGAGTATGGTAAGACCCTGGAGGATTCCATCAGTAACGACACCTCAGGACACTTCCGTAGGCTCCTCGTCTCACTCTGTCAGGTAACTTTTTATTGATATGTTATCAATGGGTTTTTGTTATGTTATTGATGTGTTATTAATCGTTATCATTGAGTAACTTCTTTGAAAGTGAAGGCTAAAGCTGATTCATGATGACAACCTCCCAATACTCAAAAAAGTCAGTGCTCTTGCACTTACAACTGGCTACCTAATGGCTACAAATTAGTCTTATCTTTGAATTTGTGTTAACAGTTTCTGAAATTTCATATTTATTTAATGAAGTGAACAAGCTAAAAAAAAACCACATTTGTATGAAACTGCTATAGCCCTCTCAAGATAAACATCTACTATAGCCCCTTCCCATCCTGAGTCAGGAGCCAGGAAGTAGAGCCTATTATAGAGCAATTTTTTGTTTACAAGCAAACGTCATGTTCGAGTGGCGTATGCTTGCATGCTCACAACAAAAGGCCCTGTAGCAGATAGCTATACACTGATGTCGGGACTTTGACAAACGTAGCAGTGAGTGAATGATGACCATGAAAAAACACAAGACTGATGCCTATAGCTATGTTCAACAAGGTATTATTCTTCTGGCTTTATCTAGCTCTATATTGTTATTTATTTTGCTCATTTGCACCCCAGTATCTCTATTTGCACATCATCTCTTGCACATCTATCATTCCAGTGTTAATACTAATTGTAATTATTTTGCACTATAGCCTATTTATTGCCTTACCTCCATAACTTGCTACATTTGCACACACTGTATATATATTTTGTTGTATTTTTGACTTTATGTTTTGTTTTACCCCATATGTAACTCTGTGTTGTTGTTTTTATCGCACTGCTTTGCTTTATCTTGGCCAGGTCGCAGTTGTAAATGAGAACTTGTTCTCAACTGGCTTACCTGGTTAAATAAAGGTGAAATAAATAAAATAAAATAAAATATTTGGGATATTTTACCTTGCCTCGCTGGCTTGCTACGTAATCAATCCTCCAATGACATCTGCAATGTTGTAGATGATGACCATCTGATTACGTGTTTGTTAACTTGCAGGAGCTGCATTTGAAGTTAAATGTGATCGTATCCACTTCAATGTAAACAAATCCCTTTCTGCTGCCCAAAACATTTGATGCTGCCGGGTCTGGATTTTTCATGAGGCAATGGGTCTATGGATGCATCCCAAATGGCAGCCTATTCCCTATATAGTGCACTATTTTTGACCAGAACACCATGGCCCCTGATCAAAAGTAGTGCACTATAAATGGAGTAGGGTGTAATTTAGGAGGCAACCCATAAAGATACCTTGGAAGCTTTATGGAAGCAATTACTGAAATTGGGGAGGAGAAGTTGAGTTTCCATGCCTCAAATTCCTTCCAAGCTACCAGTATTCCACTGTTAATAATTTGTAAGAGTTTCCAGATTTTTTCCCCCATGGAATAATATTGTCTGCATCCCCAGGCACTGGTGAAAAGTAGTGCACTATATAGGGAATAAGATGCCATTTGGGACGCATCCATTTCTTTTGTAGTAAACCAATTTTTTGCTTCCTGTTTTGAAGGGAAATCGAGACGAGAGGGAACAAGTTGACATCAACTTGGCCAAACAGGATGCTCAGGTGAACACTGTTTCTTGTTATGCTAATATAGTAACAATTAAACTGTTTTAAAGATCTTTGTGATGCCACAATAGTTTTTTATATACCCTGTAGGCTTATAGGAAATTTGACATTATTTGTTTCTTTTCAGATCTGAGACTTTACTTAAGGAAGCATGTGGCTGCCAATATTCATCTTAAAAAATTCAAATTGGAAAAATATTGGCAGCCGTATGATTCTGTAGTGTTAGACAAGCAGTTCATGTTTCTACTGATCATGTCGTGTGTTAGAAACTGATCATGTTGTGTGTTAGAAACGGATCATGTTATGTTGTGTGTTAGAAACTGATCATGTTGTGTGTTAGAAACTGATCATGTTGTGTGTGCTAAACTGATCATGTTATGTTGTGTGCTAAACTGATCATGATATGTTGTGTGTTCTAAACTGATCATGTTATGTTGTGTGTTAGAAACGGATCATGTTACAGTGGGGGAAAAAAAGTATTTAGTCAGCCACCAATTGTGCAAGTTCTCCCACTTAAAAAGATGAGAGAGGCCTGTAATTTTCATCATAGGTACACGTTAACTATGAAAGACAAATTGAGAAAAGGAAATCCAGAAAATCACATTGTAGGATTTTTTATGAATTTATTTGCAAATTATGGTGGAAAATAAGTATTTGGTCACCTACAAACAAGCAAGATTTCTGGCTCTCACAGACCTGTAACTTCTTCTTTAAGAGGCTCCTCTGTCCTCCACTCGTTACCTGTATTAATGGCACCTGTTTGAACTTGTTATCAGTATAAAAGACACCTGTCCACAACCTCAAACAGTCACACTCCAAACTCCACTATGGCCAAGACCAAAGAGCTGTCAAAGGACACCAGAAACAAAATTGTAGACCTGCACCAGGCTGGGAAGACTGAATCTGCAATAGGTAAGCAGCTTGGTTTGAAGAAATCAACTGTGGGAGCAATTATTAGGAAATGGAAGACATACAAGACCACTGATAATCTCCCTCGATCTGGGGCTCCACGCAAGATCTCACCCCGTGGGGTCAAAATGATCACAAGAACGGTGAGCAAAAATCCCAGAACCACACGGGGGGACCTAGTGAATGACCTGCAGAGAGCTGGGACCAAAGTAACAAAGCCTACCATCAGTAACACACTACGCCGCCAGGGACTCAAATCCTGCAGTGCCAGACGTGTCCCCCTGCTTAAGCCAGTTCATGTCCAGGCCCGTCTGAAGTTTGCTAGAGTGCATTTGGATGATCCAGAAGAGGATTGGGAGAATGTCATATGGTCAGATGAAACCAAAATATAACTTTTTGGTAAACTCAACTCGTTGTGTTTGGAGGACAAAGAATGCTGAGTTGCATCCAAAGAACACCATACCTACTGTGAAGCATGGGGGTGGAAACATCATGCTTTGGGGCTGTTTTTCTGCAAAGGGACCAGGACGACTGATCCGTGTAAAGGAAAGAATGAATGGGGCCATGTATCGTGAGATTTTGAGTGAAAACCTCCTTCCATCAGCAAGGGCATTGAAGATTAAACGTGGCTGGGTCTTTCAGCATGACAATGATCCCAAACACATCGCCCGGGCAACGAAGGAGTGGCTTCGTAAGAAGCATTTCAAGGTCCTGGAGTGGCCTAGCCAGTCTCCAGATCTCAACCCCATAGAAAATCTTTGGAGGGAGTTGAAAGTCCGTGTTGCCCAGCGACAGCCCCAAAACATCACTGCTCTAGTGGAGATCTGCATGGAGGAATGAGCCAAAATACCAGCAACAGTGTGTGAAAACCTTGTGAAGACTTACAGAAAACGTTTGACCTGTGTCATTGCCAACAAAGGGTATATAACAAAGTATTGAGAAACTTTTGTTATTGACCAAATACTTATTTTCCACCATAATTTGCAAATAAATTCATTAAAAATCCTACAATGTGATTTTCTGGATTTTTTTTCTCATTTTGTCTGTCATAGTTGACGTGTACCTATGATGAAAATTACAGGCCTCTCTCATCTTTTTAAGTGGGAAAACTTGCACAATTGGTGGCTGACTAAATACTTTTTTTCCCCACTGTATGTTGTGTGTGCTAAACTGATCATGTTATGTTGTGTGTTAGAAACTGTATGCTGCCGGGGAGAACAAAGTGGGGACGGATGAGTCCCAGTTCAACGCCATACTGTGTGCCAGGAGCAAACCCCACCTGAGAGCAGGTAGCTAACCATACTATAGTAACTGTGTTTATATTACCGAGTCAGTTCTCACTGTTCTATCTGACAGGGTTGTAACCTCTCAGATATTGAATTTTGAGGTTGTTTCCTCATTTAGTTTTTCTATGTCTAACTAACACTATTTATACAGTGGGGAGAACAAGTATTTGAACCACTGCCGATTTTGCAGGTTTTCCTACTTACAAAGCATGTAGAGGTCTGTAATTTTTTATCATAGGTACACTTCAACTGTGAGAGACGGAATCTAAAACAAAAATCCAGAAAATCACATTGTATGATTTTTAAGTAATTTATTTGCATTTTATTGCATGACATACAGTGGGGGAAAAAAGTATTTAGTCAGCCACCAATTGTGCAAGTTCTCCCACTTAAAAAGATGAGAGAGGCCTGTAATTTTCATCATAGGTACACGTCAACTATGAAAGACAAATTGAGAACATTTTTTCCAGAAAATCACATTGTAGGATTTTTAATGAATTTATTTGCATTTTATTGCATGACATACAGTGGGGGAAAAAAGTATTTAGTCAGCCACCAATTGTGCAAGTTCTCCCACTTAAAAAGATGAGAGAGGCCTGTAATTTTCATCATAGGTACACGTCAACTATGAAAGACAAATTGAGAACATTTTTTCCAGAAAATCACATTGTAGGATTTTTATGAATTTATTTGCAAATTATGGTGGAAAATAAGTATTTGGTCAATAACAAAAGTTTCTCAATACTTTGTTATATACCCTTTGTTGGCAATGACACAGGTCAAATGTTTTCTGTAAGTCTTCACAAGGTTTTCACACACTGTTGCTGGTATTTTGGCCCATTCCTCCATGCAGATCTCCTCTAGAGCAGTGATGTTTTGGGGCTGTCGCTGGGCAACACGGACTTTCAACTCCCTCCAAAGATTTTCTATGGGGTTGAAATCTGGAGACTGGCTAGGCCACTCCAGGACCTTGAAATGCTTCTTACGAAGCCACTCCTTCGTTGCCCGGGCAGTGTGTTTGGGATCATTGTCATGCTGAAAGACCCAGCCACGTTTCATCTTCAATGCCCTTGCTGATGGAAGGAGGTTTTCACTCAAAATCTCACGATACATGGCCCCATTCATTCTTTCCTTTACACGGATCAGTCGTCCTGGTCCCTTTGCAGAAAAACAGCCCCAAAGCATGATGTTTCCACCCCCATGCTTCACAGTAGGTATGGTGTTCTTTGGATGCAACTCAGCATTCTTTGTCCTCCAAACACGACGAGTTGAGTTTTTACCAAAAAGTTCTATTTTGGTTTCATCTGACCATATGACATTCTCCCAATCCTCTTCTGGATCATCCAAATGCACTTTAGCAAACTTCAGACGGGCCTGGACATGTACTGGCTTAAGCAGGGGGACACGTCTGGCACTGCAGGATTTGAGTCCCTGGCGGCGTAGTGTGTTACTGATGGTAGGCTTTGTTACTTTGGTCCCAGCTCTCTGCAGGTCATTCACTAGGTCCCCCCGTGTGGTTCTGGGATTTTTGCTCACCGTTCTTGTGATCATTTTGCGTGGAGCCCCAGATCGAGGGAGATTATCACTGGTCTTGTATGTCTTCCATTTCCTAATAATTGCTCCCACAGTTGATTTCTTCAAACCAAGCTGCTTACCTATTGCAGATTCAGTCTTCCCAGCCTGGTGCAGGTCTACAATTTTGTTTCTGGTGTCCTTTGACAGCTCTTTGGTCTTGGCCATAGTGGAGTTTGGAGTGTGACTGTTTGAGGTTGTGGACAGGTGTCTTCTATACTGATAACAAGTTCAAACAGGTGCCATTAATACAGGTAATGAGTGGAGGACAGAGGAGCCTCTTAAAGAAGAAGTTACAGGTCTATGAGAGCCAGAAATCTTGCTTGTTTGTAGGTGACCAAATACTTATTTTCCACCATAATTTGCTAATATATTCATAAAAAATCCTACAATGTGATTTTCTGGAGATTTCTTTTTCTCAATTTGTCTGTCATAGTTGACGTGTACCTATGATGAAAATTACAGGCCTCTCTCATCTTTTTAAGTGGGAGAACTTGCACAATTGGTGGCTGACTAAATACTTGTTTTCCCCACTGTAAGTATTTGATCACCTACCAACCAGTAAGAATTCCGGCTCTCACAGACCTGTTAGTTTTTCTTTAAGAAGCCCTCCTGTTCTCCACTCATTACCTGTATTAACTGCACCTGTTTGAACTCGTTACCTGTATAAAAGACACCTGTCCACACACAAACAGACTCCAACCTCTCCACAATGGCCAAGACCAGAGAGCTGTGTAAGGACATCAGGGATAAAATTGTAGACCTGCACAAGGCTGGGATGGGCTACAGGACAATAGGCAAGCAGCTTGGTGAGAATGCAACAACTGTTGGCGCAATTATTAGAAAATGGAAGAAGTTCAAGATGACGGTCAATCACCCTCGGTCTGGGGCTCCAGGTCAATGACCTGAAGAGAGCTGGGACCACAGTCTCAAAGAAAACCATTAGTAACACACTACGCCGTCATGGATTAAAATCCTGCAGCGGACGCAAGATCCCCCTGCTCAAGCCAGCGCATGTCCAGGCCCGTCTGAAGTTTGCCAATGACCATCTGGAGGATCCAGAGGAGGAATGGGAGAAGGTCATGTGGTCTGATGAGACAAAAATAGAGCTTTTTGGTCTAAAGTCCACTCGCCGTGTTTGGAGGAAGAAGAAGGATGAGTACAACCCCAAGAACACCATCCCAACCGTGAAGCATGGAGGTGGAAACATCATTCTTTGGGGATGCTTTTCTGCAAAGGGGACAGGACGAATGCACCGTATTGAGGGGAGGATGGATGGGGCCATGTATCGCGAGATCTTGGCCAACAACCTCCTTCCCTCAGTAAGAGCATTGAAGATGGGTCGTGGCTGGGTCTTCCAGCATGACAACGACCCAAAACACACAGCCAGGGCAACTAAGGAGTGGCTCCGTAAGAAGCATCTCAAGGTCCTGGAGTGGCCTAGCCAGTCTCCAGACCTGAAACCAATAGAAAATCTTTGGAGGGAGCTGAAAGTCCGTATTGCCCAGCGACAGCCCCGAAACCTGAAGGATGGTATGGAGGAGTGGGCCAAAATCCCTGCTGCAGTGTGTGCAAACCTGGTCAAGATCTACAGGAAACGTATGATCTCTGTAATTTCAAACAAAGGTTTCTGTACCAAATATTAAGTTCTGCTTTTCTGATGTATCAAATACTTATGTCATGCAATAAAATGCAAATTAATTACTTAAAAATCATACAATGTGATTTTCTGGATTTTTGTTTTAGATTCCGTCTCTCACAGTTGAAGTGTACCTTTGATAAAAATTACAAACCTCTACATGCTTTGTAAGTAGGAAAACCTGCAAAATCGGCAGTTTATCAAATACTTGTTCTCCCCACTGTACAAACATTTTATTCACTATATTTATGTATATTAACTGGTTGTTCCAAAGTCATAACAATCCTGCCCATGGCTCATTAGTATATTATAACTTTACTACGTGGTTATAAACACCTTTTTACATGTTTGTAACAACCATGCCTATGGTTATAACAACCCTAACTATGGTTATAACAACCCTAACTATGGTTATAACATCCTTATTAAATCAAATCAAAGTTTATTGGTCGCGTACACAGTTTTGCAGATGTTATCACAGGTGCAGCGAAATGTTTGTTTCTAGCTCCAACAATGCAGCAATATCTAGCAAATTACATGTTTTTATTACATGGTTATAACAACCCTGGCCATGGTTATAACAACCCTGGCCATGGCTCATTAGTATATTATGACAACCTTATTATATGTTTATAACAACCCTGCCTACAGTTATTACAACCCTGCCCATGGTTCTTGTTTCTGCTAGTATTTCATGAGTACCAACAGATGTGTGGCAGAGACATCGTGAAGAGCATCTGCAGGGAGATGTCTGGAGACGTGGAGGATGGCATGGTGGCTGTTGGTAAGGACAGAAATAACCATCTATCACTTTTTGGATGTGAAATTCCGTAACTGTTGACTGTTTAGAATCAGATGATTCAGGATCACACTGATTTGGTTTGGTTTGGTTTGATATGACACAGTGTCTACGTAGGGCTCTATATAGGGAATGGGTTGCCATTTGGGATTAAGCCGGTATGAAGGTTAGTCATGTCTCTACTCTATGAACTAAAGCCTTGTCTTGTTGTGTTCCAGTGAAATGCATCAAGAACACTCCTGAATACTTTGCAGAGAGGCTGCACAAGGCCATGGCGGTAAGGAAAGAAAACTGTCTCTCACTCCGCTGATGGAAATGTTCATAAACCGTGTTTACGGGTAGCCGCCCTGAGACATTGCTTGTAGTCACTATCACTATAGTGTCTTCGACATATTTTGACACACACACACACACACTAGTGCTGAGTGATTAACCCAAAAAAAATTTCAACAACTATTTGACAGAGTCGGTTCAATTATTTGAATTCCATTTTGTTCTGTTTTTTTCTGTGAGCTCAATGCGCACATTGCACAGTTTCTCTAGAGATAAATCAGATCCAGCCTGAACTGTGCGACGTAGTAGGGAGTTGTAGTTTCCAACAGGTCAATATTCTACATAATTTAGTGCATAAAACGTGGTAATAAACTACAATGACCATAATCCATTACGCATATACTTGTCCGGTCTGTTTTTTTAATGCCTGCTAGGGAAGAGGAAGAAGAATGCGCGATCGTGAGGAGATATAGAGAGCAGCTGTTTCGTCATGAGGTACACTATATATACAAAAGTATGTGGCCACCCCTTCAAATTAGTGGATTCTGCTACTTCAGCCACACCTGTCAGGTGTATAAAATCTAGCACACAGCCATGCAACCGCCATAGACAAACATTGGCAGTAGAATGGCCTTACTGAAGAGCTCAGCGACTTTCATCTGGCACCGTCATAGGATGCCACCTTTCCAACAAATCAGTTCGTCAAATTTCTGTCCTGCTAGAGCTGCCCCGGTCAACTGTAAGTGCTGTTATTGTGAAGTGGAAAAGTCTAGGAGCAACAACGGCTCAGCCGCGAAGTGGTAGGCCACACAAGCTCACAGAACGGGACCGCCGAGTGCTGAAGCGCATAGCGCGTAAAAATCGTCTGTCCTCGGTTGCAACACTCACTTCTGAGTTCCAAACTGCCTCTGGAAGCCACGTCAGCACAAGAACTGTTCGTCGGGAGCTTCATGAAATGGGTTTCCATGGCTGAGCAGCCGCACGGAAGCCTAAGATCACCATGCGCAATGCCAAGCGTCGGCTGGAGTGGTGTAAAGCTCGCCACCATTGGACTCTGGAGCAGTGGAAACGCGTTCTCTGGAGTGATGAATCACGCTGAACCGTCTGGCAGTCCGACGGACGAATCTGGGTTTGGCGGATGCCAGGAGAACGCTACCTGCCCCAATGTGCCAAAGATTGGTGGAGGAGGGGAATACTGGTCTGGGGCTGTTTTTCATGGTTTGGGCTAGGCCCTTTAGTTCCAGTGAAGGGAAATATTAACGCTACAGCATACAATGACATTATAGACGATTCTGTGCTTCCAACTTTGTGGCAACAGTTTGGGGAAGGCCCTTTCCTGTTTCAGCATGACAATGCCCCTGTGCACAAAGCGAGGTCCATACAGAAATGTTTTGTCGAGATCGGTGTGGAAGAACTTGACTGACCTGCACAGAGCCCTGACCTCAACCCATCGAACACCTTTGGGATGAATTGGAACGCCGACTGTGAGCCAGGCCTAATCGCCCAACATCAGTGCCCGACCTCACTAATGCTCTTGTGGCTGAATGGAAGCAAGTCCCCGCAGCAATGTTCTAACATCTAGTGGAAAGCCTTCCCAGAAGAGAGGAGGCTGTTAAAGCAGCAATGGGGTGACCAACTCCATATTAATGCCCATGATTTTGGAATGAGATTTTCGATGAGCAGGTGTCCACATACCTTTGGTTGTGGTGTACTTTTGGTCATGTATTGAATCTCTACCTGAAAATACATGATCAAAGTCATTGATAGTTGGTATTCAGCAGTCATAAAAGTATGCCTTATTTACTTTGAAGAACTACAAAATAGTGATTTAGTCAGACAGTATAGGCAGCAGCTCTATAGAGATGAGATGATGACTTGGAATTAAATAATAAAGTCATCAAATAAACAAATGTAATATACACAACAACTGAAATATTTCATTAAAGTAATGTGAATAAATTATGGTTAAGAAGCAATAGGCAGTAATGGGCAGTCACTACCATCATGGGAGTCTTTAAAATATGTTTTTTTTTCTGTGTTTACAGCATGTGGTCCTCTGTAGCTCAGCTGGTAGAGCACGGCGCTTGTAACGCCAAGGTAGTGGGTTCGATCCCCGGGACCACCCATACACAAAAATGTATGCACGCATGACTGTAAGTCGCTTTGGATAAAAGTGTCTGCTAAATGGCATATTATTATTATTATTATTATTATTCAACCCAAATAATTGAAACCGAAATCGAAAACCGTGATTATTTTTAAATAATCGAACCGAAACCGAATCAAACTCAAAAAGCACTGATCACTCAGCACTAACACACACACACACACACACACACACACACACACACACACACATTTAGACGCCATAGTGATGGAGACTACAAACTATGTTTCAGGGCTAGTTCATGGGATGGTACTTACTGTGTTGACTAAAGGCGTCCGCATTCTTCCCAGCCAAAACAGTTTGGAAGAGTTCGTGCTTATATTATGCCGAAATTTTGTGAAGTTTTTGTTTGTTTTGGACTTTGGTACGGGTTTTTTCAGCTGCTCGGGTACACTCTTTTTTTTTCTCGAGGCAAGCCCAAGTCTGTAGCCGAAGTCAGTAGCCGAAGTCTACGCCCCTTCGTCTGTGATTGGTCAACAGTAGGGATTCTTCAATAAAGTCTTTGTTGTCATTCAATTAGACGACTTGTTTTCATGCACATTTTTTCATTGAGAAATACTGCACCAAGCATCTTAGTTAAATGTAAAATTGCAAAAACGTCCAAATTAATGACAGATGTCTTATCAGTTATCTTAGATTAATTCTGACTATTTTGAATTGTATACTGGCTACGGCGTCTCAAAATGGACAAACAGTACTATTGCCAATTTTTTCAAATTTTTTCAAGCGAACGTCTTAAGGGAGTATGCGAGCACACTCCGCATGCGAGCGCACTCCGCATGCCAGCCGAACTGAAGCATGCGGACGCCTTAATTCATATTTAGGATTGACTCTGTACTATCTGTTCCCAGGGGGCTGGGACCAAGGACAGGACTCTGATTCGGGTCATGGTGACTCGCTCTGAGGTGGACATGCTGGACATCAGACAGGTGTATCAGCAGACCTACGGGAAATCACTGTACACCGCCATCTCTGTATGTACCTTAGACAAATAATCACTATGCTAAAATTATTTTATTGGAATCAATCCATTGCTTTTATTCTATGGAGATTGCTGCCAAAATTATGTAAATTAATGAATGTTAATTTCTTGGTTTATCTCATGGAAAATGATGCAGTTAATACTATGTTTTTTTTCTCTCCATCTTTTAGGGTGACACTTCTGGTCACTACAAGAAGCTGCTGCTGAAGCTGTGTGGTGGAAGTGATTAGAGGGATATGAAGACATCGCCTACATCAACCAGGACAGTGAAGTCATTGAATTAGAATATTTAGAATCAGAGGTGCTATGGCCGTTCTATTTCTATGAGTGTGCTAGTCCATAAGAATGTGTCAGAAACTATCCTATATCAACCTGTGATGCATGTAGTTCTTTTAGCTGTACTTGTGTCTCACACTCCAATGCAACATTTCATTACTAAGTACTAACGCACACACCATAATGTGCTGGGTGATATATGTAGGATAATTTATTTTATTTGCTGCATATGCAATCAGTTATTGTGTAGTCTTGATTCATTTTCACAGTGATGGAAAAAGTACCCAATTGTCATACTTGAGTAAAAGTAAAGATACCTTAATAGAAAATGACTCAAGTGAAAGTCACCCAGTAAAATACTACTTGAGTAAAAGTCTAAAATTATATACTCAAGTATCAAAACTAAAAGTATAAATCATTTCAAATTCCTTATATTAAGCAAACCAGACGGCATCATTTTATTGTTTTTTTAAATTTACGGATAGCAAGGGGCACACTCAGCCATAATTTACAAATGAAGCATGTGTGTTTAGTGAGTCCGCCAGATCAGAGGCAGTAGGGATGACCAGGGATGTTCTCTTGATAAGTGTGTGATTTGGACCATTTTCTATATGTGTACTTAGACCGCTGCTTTTGGGTGTCAGGGAAAATGTATGGATTAAAAAGTACATTATTTTCATTAGTACTGTAGTAAAGTAAAGGTTGTCAAAAATATAAATAGTAAAGTACAGATACTCCAAAAAACTACTTAAGTAGTACTTTAAAGTATTTTTATTGTGATATGTGTAATCATATTTCATGTTATCAGGATAGTATAATTTTATACTAAAATACAGTACTATAATTTACAAATGATTATATTAGCTTTCTGCCAAATACTAAATAAATATTAATATTTCTGGATGTTAAAGCCTTTGTGTCAACGTGCAAATATTTTAGGAGTTTTAGATACTTAAGATATACAAAATGTAGTATCCTATAGCTTTATTGCCGACTACTACTATATTCTATGCAAATTAGCACCTTGTTTCATTTAGAATGAAAGCCAATGATAATGAAATATCACTACACATTTCTTCCACATTTTTCTCTGTTAGTGATACCTTTTATAAATGTAGCCAATTTTCCATTGCTTGTTTCCCAGATATAAACACAATGTTGCCTTTTATGCTGCAGATCCAAAGCCCGCCATGGCATGCAACTCTTTCAATGTTATACCATCTATTTTGAAAGCTGTTTAGTTCCACACAAGTCAATATTTGTTTCTCATGTAATCTTTCATTGCCATTTTTACCATAATTCATATGTAAGTCATTGTGCAACTGTTTGCCAAAAGGTAAACATTTCATTATTTGTTGTCAATATTATTAACAGATTTATTAATTACATAGGTATCTATAACTGGGATACATATAGTGTACATTTATGCCAGTAGAGGGCAGGTTTTACACACAAGTGAAATTGGCAATGGCTCCACTGAGACATGGTAACTGGAAAATTGTAGATTCTAGTACAGTATATAGCTATTATATTAATACCACTTTTGTTACTTGTCACAATGGCACAGAAGTGCTGCCTTTGTATGTACAAACTAACGTTTACAATCATTTGATTGTTTTAATGTTCATCCACAGGCTTAAAGGCATCATTCCTGTCAATTAAAATATTTTGACTGACTCATTTTCTGTTTCAATAATTGGATTTTTGTATTTCATATTCATAACATTGATTGTCATAGCATGAGTGCTATTAAGTCAAATCCTTGACGCTCATAGGCTTGACAATGACAGCATTGAAGATCGCAAGAGCACAAACAGGTTTGGGACCAGGCTATGACTAATTTCTTTACTGAGAGATATTTAATAACTTCTTAACATAAATAGTCATTTCCCTACTAGACAGCTGTTTAACACAACAATGATCATTTGCATTTCAAAGGCCTGTTTTATTTCCACCTTGGCCAGATAATGAACCTACGCAGTCACATCGAAGTCAAGCTGGCAGTCGATCCCTCTTCAGAGAAAATATTTACCTCACATTACCTACAGTCAAAGGTGGAAATAAAAAGGCTCATATGAAAGTATCCTCTCTGCATGTTGGGGCTCCCGAGTGGCGCAGCGGTCTAAGGCACTGCATCAGTGCTTGAGGCGTCACTACAGACCACCTGGTTCAATTCCAGGCTGTATCACAACCGGCCGTGATTGGGAGTCCCATAGGGCGGCGCACAATTGGCCCAGTGTCGTCCGGGTTTGGCCGGTGTAGGCCGTCATTGTAAATAAGAATTTGTTCTTAACTGACTTGCCTAGTTAAATAAAGGTAAAATAAAAAATACAAATAAAATGGGCCTTCCTCTCTTATCTGAGGGAGAGGGGAAATTAAAGTGTCCCAAATGGCACCCTATTCCCTATATAGTGCACTACATTGAACCAAGGCCCATCAAAAGTAGTGCACTACATCAGGAATAGGGTGCCAATTGGGACTGGAGAGAAAAGCTTGGTTTGCGTTACAGTTCACTGCCACACCAGATAGTGGTTTTATCACAGCAAAGAGCTTTAGCTGAGCTGCTAAAAATAGTTCTCCATGGATGGAGGATGAGAGAAATGTATTCAAAGGCAATATCCCAAAGACTTCTCTCCCTCTCTCTCTTCCTATCTTTCTCTCTCTCTTCCCTCCCTTATTTAACCCTTATTTTACCAGGTAAGTTGACTGAGAACACATTTTTTTACAGCAACGACCTGGGGAAGAGGGGAGAGGGGAGGAGAGGGGATGAATGAATGAGCCAATTTGGAAGCTGGGGTTGATTTGGTGGCCATGATGGTATGAGGGCCAGATTGGGAATTTAGCCTAGGCACAGGGGTTAAAACCCCTACTCTTACGATAAGTGAATGAAGCTTTTCTCGTGCAGCTGTAATCATTTTAACATATGTAGGCTAGGCTTCTTGTATCGTCACAGACTTATAAATTACATATCAAAGAGGCTATTTTGAAGCAGGATTTACCTGCAATGATTGTGATGTGGTTCTTTCACCCACCTTAGTTGACGGATTGTAAGTCGCTCTGTATAAATCTGACGTCTAATAAAATATTATTTCACATATTTTGTATGTGTGAAAAGGCTCTAAGAGCATCTGCTAATGACTCAAATGTAAGATGTCAATAATACTGAGGAAAAAATCAAACCAACACTATGTTTGAGGGTTAGCTTAATGTTACCACTAAATGAGTCTTCACTTTGTGAATCCATGTGATCCTTTCTTCATCAAATATAAAGGTCAAAGGGAAATTAGGAGCAAAGTGGGAAAGTCAGACCACTTTCTTGGACTGTTATTACAGAGTTACACCTGATTAATTATTAACACGTATTTTAGAACCAGGAAGATATTTAAGCCTTTGTAATCATCATGCCCTTTACACAGCTTAAACAAACACACATACTCATACACCTATACCGTCTATGGCACACACATATAGTAATTTCCAGCTGTCGATCAGAGAGAATGGCAGAATGTGCCATATAGGCTGGAGGGGGGGGGGTCTACATTTGGCTTGCTGTTTGAACGCTGCCATAGAGTCATATTGATCAATAATATGTCCATGCGTCATCAGAACTGAACTAGTGCAGTCAGACCAGGGCTACTGTCAACCAGAGCTGTTGTCAAGGTCAGACCTCCATGTACTGACTGGCTGGCTGGCTGGCTGGCTGGCTGGCTGGCTGGCTGGCTGACTCACTGGGTCTCTACTACTGTATATTGTACTCACAGGGGAGGTTGGGCAGGTTGTCTGTCTCTCACCTGATCTACACCATTCCATGTTCAATTCATGTAGAAAGGGTCCGGGGAGACAATTCAGACTGAAATTATTTGACTACTGACCAAGGTTGGGATCAATTACATTTCAATTCCAGTCAATTCAGAAAGTAAACTATTTCAGTTCCAATTTTTAAAAATCCTTGTTGAAAATAATTGGAATTTCAGTGTACTTCCTAACCCCAACCCTGCTACTGACAGGACACACTCTTTTTCAGGTTGGGAATTCAATCAATCCGATCTGAAACATGACATTCTACTTTATTTACATCCAGTGATGGGGACAGACAGTAGCAAAATACGTTCACTCACAGGAGTTGATAGGAGTGGAATTTGATTGGAATGAGTGAACATTCTGCCCAAGTGACATTTGGTTGCCATGAATGTACACTGCTCAAAAAAATAAAGGGAACACTTAAACAACACAATGTAACTACAAGTCAATCACACTTCTGTGAAATCAAACTGTCCACTTAGGAAGCAACACTGATTGACAATACATTTCACATGCTGTTGTGCAAATGGAATAGACAACAGGTGGAAATTATAGGCAATTAGCAAGACACCCCCAATAAAGAAGTGGTTCTGCAGGTGGTGACCACAGACCACTTCTCAGTTCCTATGCTTCCTGGCTGATGTTTTGGTCACTTTTGAATGCTGGCGATGCTTTCACTCTAGTGGTAGCATGAGACGGAGTCTACAACCCACACAAGTGGCTCAGGTAGTGCAGCTCATCCAGGATGGCACATCAATGCGAGCTGTGGCAAGAAGGTTTGCTGTGTCTGTCAGCGTAGTGTCCAGAGCATGGAGGCGCTACCAGGAGACAGGCCAGTACATCAGGAGACGTGGAGGAGGCCGTAGGAGGGCAACAACCCAGCAGCAGGACTGCTACCTCCGCCTTTGTGCAAGGAGGAGCAGGAGGAGCACTGCCAGAGCCCTGCAAAATGACCTCCAGCAGGCCACAAATGTGCATGTGTCTGCTCAAACGGTCAGAAACAGACTCCATGAGGGTGGTATGAGGGCCCGACGTCCACAGGTGGGGGTTGTGCTTACAGCCCAACACCGTGCTGGACATTTGGCATTTGCCAGAGAACACCAAGATTGGCAAATTCTCCACTGGCGCCCTGTGCTCTTCACAG